AGAGAGATGAATCCTTTTTGATAGAACTTTTAAAGGAATCTTCCACGGAAAAAGCTCCGCCCTCATTACCACAGAAAACGATACCTTAAAGGAATCTTCCACGGAAAGAGTGATCATTTTGTCTTGTGTGTAGGATTAGTATTATCGAAACTTATGTTCCGTTCTTTTTGCTATGCTCATGAGGCTAGGGGCCTAAGGTATCGTTTTTCTGTGGTAATGGAGGCGGAGCTTTTTCCGTGGAAGATTCCTTAAACTAAAGTGATCGAAAGGCGGTATCGACCTTCTGGTCTACATAGAGGTGCAAGCGCGAACTTGTTGACAGACCTACGGTATCGCTGCTCGTCTCTCATAGCATAGTTTTCGAACACAACTTCAGGAATCATCGCTTGCACTGACTAGCGCTCGTCGTACCCTCCCGTATATCAATTTTGTCAAGACGCTGTCTGTTTGCTCCTTTCTTAACTCTATAAAAAGAAGCCAGAATGCCTTTTGCCATTTTCACTTTGGTGCTTTGGTGATATTGAGAGGTTGTTTGCAGGAGCCATGATTTTGTACTCCTACTGACTAGTAAAGGGCGCCATTCGTTACGGGTCCCACTGCCTCCTGCTACAGTGAACCCTTCAATGTGGAGCGGGGAATCCGTGAGCCAGGGGCAGTGTCGCCAGTCTAGGGGGGTGGGGGGTGAGGGCAGTCACTTGACATGCGTGAGAAGCTGGAATGTTCGAATTCAACCGCGATCGCTTGGGATCCCCGCGGGTTAAGGCAGTGGGTCCCGCAACGAATGGCGCCCTATACTAGTCAGTAGGAGTACAAAATGATTACTCCGTTGTTTGCAGAAAAAAAGCGAGTGTCGACAATTGTCGACCGGAGTAATGTCTATGGTAACTTTAATGTTTGGTTACTGTAGGACTTGAGATTGAAATAGATATTGCAGATTGTTTTTGCAAGGTTTGATTAGATCACATCGCGGAGGGGATTTAGGCCTGCTGCCCGCGGAGGCGAGGTTCTCGGCTTCTGGAGCGTCTGGGAGTCCTCCGATATAGGAGCTTCGACATCAATCGCACAACGTCGTCTCGAGTGGGATCATCGTCACGAAGATTTCATCGTATTGCTGTTCTCGTCAATAATGTGTCTGAACTATTATTGTTGAAGTACCTGGCATTCACTTAGCCTAAACCTCAAGTATTCAATCCACATCGAACGCGTTAGAGAGACTGCCCATAAAAACTGCTGTGAAGCAAACTGGAGGCAAGCGTTCGTTCTACGAGCGTTCAGTGTACCAGCGTGATCAGTGGTTTGATCCATGCATACATAGCTGTATTATTTATGAGCCTGATACTCGAATCTCTGAATGAGAAGGAAAGTACTCCAGAGGAAATATGTCGGAGCGGCAAGAAAATCACTCTGGAAAAGCTGTTAGATCTTTGGCATGTTGGCGCGTGTTTAAGCTGAAAATCTCAATCACTACAGAAGGAAAGCGCTAAAAAAAAAACGCCTAACACAGTGATGGAACATAAGCGAGAGCAGACAGTAGCGTTACAATGGCAGTTGTGATTAGACAATATGAGGAGAAGCAGAAAATGCGAAGCCGATCAACATTTCTGCCAGCAGCGATATTCTTCTCAAGGCCGATGAACTTCTATCTGCGTCGATGTAGCGAGGAGTGATCGAGTGCAAACCAGGAAATCAGTCAACCATGGGGCACTGAAATTCGAAAACTCAAAAGAGCTACTACAGCTGATTCTCTGCTGGATGAACGTGTGAGTTTTCCATGGTAAATTTCGAAGAAATAAGAAATGATGAATCGAATTCCAAGAACTCACTTTTCCAAGAGCTCGGCTCTGGAATCTCCCGTCTTCGTTCTCTTCATTCGCTCGCACTTCTTCGAAATAAACTTGTTTGAACCCTAGAAATTCTGGAGAAATTATTCATATCTAGGATCATTTTGTTAAGTGGCCTTCCTCTGGCTAAACATTGTTCATAATTAAAACATGATGGGGTAATGGCATGAGATGAAATCATATATTTAGCTATTCCAAATATTTCAATTGATAATGGAGGACAAAATGTTTGGAGAGAAGAGGTGCTTACGGTCACTCCAAGAATCCTGAGCATCCATGGCTTGGGTCTCCAGCGACGAGTGTTGGCTCTGTGGTGAAGTGTAAGCGGTTAGCACGGAGAAAAGCACACCGACAGCGACGACGAAAATTTCCGCCAGAATGAAGTTTCCTGGAGAATCAACAAATACGAATTCTGCCAAGAATTCCATCTTCCACTCTTCCAGGGAATGAGAGTTTCATCAGGACAATTACCGAGATAGTGAAGGGCGGCTGCTTTCGGGAAAACACAAAAATACAAAAACAAAAAAAACAAAAAAAATTTTTTGAGTTGGCAACAATCTCAAGAATGACTGCGGAGGAAAGCAGCGTAGTGAGACCAAGATTTACCTGAATTCACACTACAATTCAGAACTTTTCTGAAAAGCTGAGACGTATGAAGGAGTTGTCAAATGCTCACCTTCTCTTCTCGATCCCCCAACGAATTGGTCGGTATGAAAAGACCAAAGATGGAGACTGTGGTGATGACGAAAGTAGGAATCAGCAGCACCCACAAGTAAAACTGAGGACGACGTGACACATAGAGCTGAATAAATCAAATGGGACCTCTACAGGCAGCTCTGCTCGTTTAGAGAACATCTAAGATTACAGCCTGTCCTTCAATAAACATCTCCCTCTTTCAGAGCTCTGAACGAGAGTGGACTTTGAAGCATTGAACTTCGAGTTTGCAATGATTAATTATGCTAGGAAAACTAAACCTACAGAAAAGTCATGGAATTCTTCGTCGTTATCCGGCGCACTACACAATTATCGTGTAGCTCTCGTGCCTCGAAATAGAAACAGGTGACCGATTCGCAAATTCGTCTGTAGGACACACTGGAGTGGATAATCACAGACAGTGGTGTTTCGTGCATGGAATCACTAAACAGGACGGCAAAGATCTGCAAGTTCAGCTCAGGCAAGTGCAATGTTCACTTCAGCACAGGTCATTGTTCTGATGCGCCTTTCAGGTCTATCTCATTGAAAATCACCTGACAAAAGAGAAGGGGGAACCACCGCCTGGAGGGCTTGCAAATAAGCTGCTGCTACTGCTCTTCTCCGCGATCCGCTCCTCATTGCCCCAGCACCGCCTCACGCAGGCTGAGCAAGCTCTTAACCCAAGACTTTTCAGCAACTTCTTTTTCTTTTTCCTGCCGGCCCATTTCCTATTCATGTGCAAGAACAACACTATTAGAGTTTGATCTTGGGGCATCAAAGTTGCCAGGCGAAATCACAATAAGATGACTTTCATGACAGCGTAAAATTAGAAGAGGTAACGGTGCTCTACAAAGCCAAAGTTTACGAACATTCAGCAATTGGGTGAGCTATTTACTGTGGAAAAGTCTTCAAGCAAGCCACCCACGACTCATGAGGAACCAAGTGATTGTTCATGATTTGACTACAGTAACGCAAGTGGCAAAGGTGTGCACAGTGCATATTGTTACTATAAGAGGAACGATTGGGTGAGACCCATGTCTACAAAGCCCTTACCATGGCAGAAGTGCTGGATCGCACTGCAAAGGTACAGCCACCTTTCAGCATCGAACGCGTCAGACCCCTAGGGTGCCATGGATCCACCAACACATAACATGGTCCGCCCACCGATCGATGTCTTGTCTGCGTCGCTGCGTTGATCTGCTATGCTCTCTCATCTCGGAATTCTCTACCACCCTCTGCGCTCACATTATCTCTCATCTCCCTCCCTTTCTTTTGAACTTCTCCACAGCATAGAGCAAAATGCCCGTGTATTCCTGTGTATTTCAGAATTTTCTTTCTTTTTTTCTCCACAACTAAGGCAGTCTACCGCTCGCCAAACCCAGACTTTTACATTGACTGGAATACTCCATGTCAATTTATTCTGGCATTCTTGCCTTCCTAAGCTATTTTTATATATACTTAATTCCTCGTCTCACACCAAGCAAGTGAAGATTACGCAACTTTTGCATTCCGAGTCAGCTATTCTCAACGATCAAAGTAGCACCTGGAACGACTGGAATCTGGCTGTCAGTGAAATGACAATCGCATGTGTCACATGAGTGCTTCTGAGACGCGAGGAGAGACTTGAAATCCCATTCACTGTTACCCTCAAAAGTACAATTAAAGTAATTAATACTAATAAGGCGAGTTCATCATAGCTTGAACTGAGAAGTATTTTATACATCCGAATCCTGAAAACCCCTGGGAGGACCACCAACTCGGTACACCGACTCGTTCAACAGTTTTCAGCAAATACGGCCTATGTGGAAAAGCTTCGGTCCCACGAAAACAACCCCAGTTGATGGACTATCAAAGTTAAGTAAACTAAATCCTCAAAAAGTAAATTTAAACCTCGAAGAAGTCGCGTGGCGCTTCGATGCTCTCTCCCGGAATACAGTGCACCTCTTCATCAGTATAGGACCACGGACCAATGTCAATGATACATATTTGAGAGTCATAGGGAAAATCGTCAACCTGAAAGTCACCTTTTGCTTGTATCAATCTTTATAATATAAAGGGACTGTTATAATATAAGTGGACTAAAAAACTGTCACAGACCTTCATATTGCAGAGATTGGTGTAGACTGCATAAAAACTCTGTCTGACGGTACCATCATAATAGACGTCTAAATAGCGCTCGTTGGGATCCAGAAGCATCTCCTTTGAAATACTGGAAAGGCAGAATAACACCAGCTGATCCGAAGTCTTAATTTCGCAGTCGCTACCTGGTCGAGACGGTTATATCTGGCCGCCATACTTGGGCTTCTTTAATTTTTACCCGCCTCTGACCATCGTGCTGTTCCGGATTCCACTTGAGAAAAGCATCCGTCCATTCAAGGATGAATTCCGCGGAGAAGGTAGCGGTTTCTTCTGCTTGGTCCTGAAATATGGCAAGAGGTAGGAGGATTTCGATATTTTGAGAGCTGTTGGGAACAAACCATTCGTAGCAAACTGAGCGAGTTTGCGCTGATCGTCAGATTAATCGTTTCGTTTTCGTTTAACACTGGACGGTCGTTCGCGTTGTAACCGTTCTCCAGAAGGTGACGTACTAGCATCGAGACCCTGGATTCGGCTTTTGTTCCTAAACGAGGGAAATAGCGTGTGTGATGTGTGGGAAGGATTCGTAGGCTACTGGATCAAGCCGTTCGCGTTGATTAAACAATTTTGGTACTCTTAGTATTGTGCTGTCCCGGAGCCTCATCAGGACCTAAATGTTATATAACACAAAGAGGCACCAAAATTTATTCCAAAAGAATTCCAAAAGTTCACAAAAGTTCGAAAAACTCCAAAATTCCAAAAAACACGAAAAGTTTCAAAAAGAATTCCTTTGAAATCTTCTGCTATATTTCGGTGTTTAACACCTTCTTCAGGCATGTGTATGCCTCAGCCAAGGATTTAGCTGCCCTTACGGGAGCCGCGCCGTTGGAGTGGAATTCTGTTTTAAAATTGGAATTTCGGTATTTTGGTACACGCCACAAATTCTGCTTGCATTCAGAATCGCAGTAGTGTTTGAGGCGCATCGGCCTATGCGATGAGTCAACTGAGGTAAAAGCTAATGGTTTTCCCACGCACGTAATACTCACATTGTTCCTGGGTCCTGAACCTCCTGAGCAATTTACTCAAACTACTCAAACTTTCCATCTATTTTAAGGTGAGGTTTTACTGTGGCCGATTCTAGGTCATACATATTGGATTGGAGAGGGCTAGCCACAAATGATAGCATGGCTCGATCGCAGTCAAGTTTTGGGAAACGACTGTGGAACTGAGGAGAATGAATTGCTTGATTGCTTCGATATCTCTTGCTTCGTAGGCCCACTGCTGATCTTGGCTGGTTAATTTTGTGTGAGTTGGCTATAGATGCGAGGTTGCTCGCTTGCCTGCGGTTCCATGCTATATTAATCGCCCCGGAGAGTCAAACGATCGAGAAGAAGTGGGACGGATTTGAGGATGTGAAAGAGGCTGCCCAATAAGGCCAACCCGAATGAAGTGAAGAATAAGTCGTTAAATTCTAGAAATGGGACCAAATTTTGCAGCTAGCTTTGGGACGGCAATTCAGGGTTTGTACTGCTTCCGTTTGAGTTTGGGTAGGAAGAAGGGTTGGAAGATACGGTGTTTGTGTTGAAATATACTTGCGCAGCGAAATCGAATGATTGGCATGGCGTTAACACAGAATCCTCTCGTGGGCGGGGCGGTTTTGGGACGGCGCCACTCATAGGTTTGGGGTCAGACTGTGTCGCAACTAGTTCGACACAGTCTGACCCCAAACCTATGAGTGGCGCCGTCCCAAAACCCATCTTTCGCCGCTCCTTGCCTTCCTCCCTTCTTTGCTGCCGCTTCCACGATCGCATTAAGCTCTTACTTGCAGACAGACGTTATTGTACTCGCTGCTTTTAAAGAGATGACTGAACTTTAAAGTCTAATCACACTCATGTCTATATAAAAAACGAATTAGTCGGAACGTCAAGGCAATCTAGCATCTTGATTTCTCGCCTAGAAATTCCAGAAAGCTCAGAATTACTTACACGTCTCACAAGCTACAAATGCACCCCCAAAGGCATATAGAGATTATGGTGTGATGTCCGACCCGGCACCGCCTTTACGCTCGTTTGACTCAATTCTGATCGCTGGTTTGTCTAAATTGGCTGAGTGATCAATGTACCTGATTGAATCAGAATGATGAACGGCCATATCAGCATTCTCTGGCGATCGTCGACTTGCGTTGCAGGAAACGTCAGAAATGCGATATGTGAGAATTGAATATTCTTGAGGTGACAACGAAGAATTCTTTGGACACTTCGGCTGAATATGAAATGAGCAATGAAGAACAGCGCAACAGCAAATTTGTTCCCACGGCTCCTCGCGATGAACAAGGAAAAGTGAGGAACACTATTTCGAAACGCGCACAGTAACCTGGCGATTCCACCCAAGGAGTTTTATCGTCTCGAAGTTCCATGGGAAACTGGTCGAATTTGGTGTCTTTAGGCAACTTCATCTGTCTTGAGTAGGGCGCAGAAAATCTATCGAAAAAAGACACGCAAGGTTGGAGGGTTGATAGGCTATCTCCTTCAGAGCCCGGAAAGTTAGAAAGCTACTCACTTTATAATCCACCGAACCCCCGAATCCGCCCTAAGACTTGTCCGATCAAACACCTCACCGCCTTCGAAGACCATTGAGACTACCTACATGACC